TATACCAAAATAACAACGAAACAGGTCTTTGTAATAATTCAATACTGCGTAATATAAAAGGAATCTTCTGTGTGAAAATGTTCCCGGTATTTTCTATTCTGCCACAATGAATTTCTTACCAAAAGACTAATGGTTTGGTACAGAAAACATCATGCGGTGTTGTAACACCGATATTTAACAATTGAATCGTTTCCAAGTATAATCTTCTAGCTAGCAAGCTGATATATGAATTAGTAAATCCAATAAGTGCAAAGTTTATGAAGACGGAAAGAGGAAATATCCTCTTGCTATCTGTCCCCTTCGTCGAAAGGTAATGCATCGAATGTCAAGGAGCAACGGTCGCTTCGCTAATTCAGCGAATTTCGCTACTTGTTCCATTGCCACCTTATGATATAAACAAGAAAGGAAAAACATTTGATAACACTACAGAAATTTCCTTGTATTTCGTTAATTCATTTTCATCCAACATGAATATTGCAAAATGTCACAGTTCCATTCTATATTTCTATAAAAAATGTTGATATTTTATTAATCGAAAATTATTCATAACTCCAATAATGTAAACGAATGAATTTAAAAATAACTCGTCCAATAGAGATATCGATTCTTCGATAAAAATACAGTTATCTAAACCAACCGTCGAACGTTATTTGGCCGTTTGCCAGTTTTCAAACATCATAATCTAAGCTCCGCTATATCAAAGAGAAATAATTAACAGCGATAAATCACTTTAGTTTTAAATCGTAAATTGTTTAAATGAAAATAAACATTTCATTTTAAAATAGATGGCGCTGTAAGAGGGTTTACGATTTCGCACATAATTATGTAAACAATGACTTCATGGTCAGAATTTAACAGAAACTTAGTACCAAAGAAACTGGTTTTACTACAATACGAGTAAGTAATATTATTCAATTATTTTATTTGTCCTTTTAATTACGTGTTTATTATTTATTTTTTAATTACTTTGTTGTGTGTGTGTTTATTTTTCTCTTATTCCAAATTGTGTTGAAGTGGTGATAAGATTAAATGTTATTTTATTTTATTTATTTATTTATTTAATATAAAATTAAGACATATGTGCAAATCACACTAAGACGTAAAATTGTAACGTCTTTATTGTATAATTTACAGTCTCAAAAGCGCACAAGCGAGCAAAATTACACACTTATTGTATTTATAATGGGAATGAGAGTCCATGACAGATCCTGTCTCTTAAAAGTCAAAGGTGTAAGAGTATTTAATTTAACTTGAAGTTTTTAAGTTCGGCAAATTTCTATTAAGTTTAGACTTGACAGTACAAGCTACAAACTATAAGCTCTTTAAAGCTTACCTACATGTAACCATTAGGTTATTGGCGCACGTAATTTTCAGTCTCTTCGATGAAGAATCCCTTCCAAGTCTCCGAAGTGTAATGGAGGCTACTTAATTATGTATGCAGCTAAGTTGTGAACGTTAGCCTAATATGCTTCATTTCACATCTCGTAAAACTTACGTTAAGCTAAATTAACATTCATATTAATAATAGTTGATGCTCCCGACTTCGCCCGCGTGAAATTGAAGAAAAAATAATCTATGTTACTCACTGATAACATAGGTTTTAATGGTGAAAGAATTTATAAAATCGACTCAGTAGTTAAGTTATTTCAATACATACAAAAAAAAAAATCTTTACCCCTTATAATATTAGTATAGATAGCTGTTGCTCGCGACTTCGCCCGTGTGAAATTAAAAAAATAATGAAAAATGTAGCCTATTTTACTCACTGGTAACGTAAATTTTATTGATGAAAGAATTTTTAAAATAGGAACAGTAGTTTTTTAGTTATAACCATACATACAAAAGTACAAATTATTCCGCTTTATAATATTAGTATAGATAGCTGTTGCTTGCGACTTCGTCCGTGTGAAATTAAAAAAAAAAACATTAAATAATAGCCTATATTACTCACTGGTAACGTAGCTTTTTAATGGTGAAAGAATTTTTAAAATCTGCTCAGTAGTTTTTGAACTATTTCAATACACATAAAAATACAAACCTTTTCTCTTCATAATATTAGTATAGATAGATTTTATAATGTAATAAACGCATACTATTGTCCCACGAAGTTACATAGTGTTTAGTTAAACATTTTTAACTCTGATCACCCCTGATTTATATAATAGACGTCGAAGTGGTTTATTTCACTACAAATATGTATTACGACACTTCTATCGGTATGTATATTTTATTACTTATTGATTATAATTTAGTAAGCACATAATAATTTTCCAATAACAATAAATTACCTAACAAAAATCAGTGCTGGGCAGTCTCGTCTAAAATCTGTTTGTTTTAGTATGGCCTAGTTTGTAATCTAACTAGTTGTGTAGCGTTCATAATTTTTGTAATTATTTGAATTATTTATGAAGAAATCTTACAAAGTAAAATGAATAACTCGTTTTATTAAAAAACACAGATACAACAAAGTCATCATCGTCAACTTGCCCTTATCCCTTACGGGGGGTCGGCACAGTATGTGCTCCATACATATCTATCAGCCGTCATATCTGAATCCACTCCTTTCTTAAGCATATCCTCTTTCACACAATTCCATTCTTTCTTCGATCTTCCTCTTCCTTTGTAGCCATCCACATTCATTCACACTCAAAACAAAACGTAATATTTTTAAACTGTGTTATTTTGCGTAAAGTATTTCATGATAAATAATTTTGGTAATAAATATTAAAAAAGTACAATTTCCTCTTGCTTTAATAATTAGCCATATTCCTCACTGGTGTTAAACAAAATGGAGGCATAATTATAGAGGGATTTAGATAGCTTTACGTAAATCCTTTGTAATTGGGTATTAAAGAAATCCCTTTTGAAATATTAGTGGGAATAAGCATTTCTAAGAAATCTTTACAATAAAGTCACAATATTAAATATTATATTATTGAATACAGTCTTACAGAATCGTTAACCCATCGTTGCGTTAAGGTAACATAATCAAGGGAGTGATGACTGAGATGATGGATGATAGAGTTCTCTGATGAAAACCTGTTGCGCCGACCCTAAAGGAGTAGGATAAGGGGATGATGATGATACTGATAAATAAACTCATCATCATCATCTCCCCTGCCTTATCCTACTCCCGTAGTGGCGCACCGGGTTTTCGTCCTCCAAAGCACTCTATCATCCGTCATCTCAGTCATCACTCCCTTCTTGATCACGTCACCTTTCACGCAATCCATCCATCTCTTTCTAGGTCTAATAAATAAACTAAAAAATAGATATTTATTTATTTATTTATTTAGCTTTATTAAATTCCATACACAAATGTTACAATATATGTTGTACAATAACATTATCATGCACTTTTTCTCCTATTGTATGGACCCCATTACCGGTAAAAGCCTCCTCCAATTACAGCAGCTTCTATATTTTTTGACATAAAAACATATTTTAGTATGTATTTAGTTAGTATAAAATAGATATAAATACTGATAAATAAACTATAGTCATAAAATATATTTCATCATATTTCATACTAATATAAAATGCCAAGAATGTTTTAATCTGTCTTTCTTCTCGATGTATGAATGATATAGTGTAGATGTCATAGGCTTACTTTTAATTCCACGCAGACAAATTCGGATAATAAAGCTAGTGTCAAATACAGAGACAGACATCAAATGTATCACGTAAATGAAACCCCACGTTACTTTGCTGGAGACCTTTTGTTCTATAAAAGAAACCTTTAGTATGCTTAAATTATATCTACACTTAAGACAGCTTAAGTAACCGTTATGTATGACTATTGTTAAGAAACCGTAAGCAGTAAACGTCGACTAGTTCATTCGTTAAAATTTTAATAAAACTATTTATAAAAAACCTCAATTTTTATTAAATTTAAAACCGAAATCAATTTAATTTGCTTAAGAGCTCGCGTGTTTGTTAAAATGTGGATATGTAAAAATATTTTACTATTTAGTTGGCCGAATGTGGCGTAACAAATTGCCTCTCACGATCAAACGTTGCCTAGTTAAACGGACGAACGCTGGTTTCTTTTCAATCTGTTCGGAACGTATTTTTTCGGTTATGAAATCGGTTTCCAAACATTAAAGGGTATAAAAATTTGGAATCGTATTCGTACACGTACTTTTAAAACCATTTGGATTTCGGTATTTTAAAATGTATTTACGTGGATTGTTGAGTTAAATTGGTGTAAACCTTCGTAAAAAAACGTAAATATTTTATTGCCATACTTTTTAATTGGTAGTTTACTGAATAAAAGCTTTTACAATATTCAATTAATTTAAGTATTCTACATTTGAAAAAAAAGACGAAGCTTATTTAAAAAAAAAACATTAACATTAAAAAGTAACAAGTAAAGTCTAAGGTAAGGTTTACATAGACTATTATTTTTATAGGGGTTATTATATAATTATATAAAATAATAATATGTACTATGGGATACTATTAATGTTTAATCTATAGTTAATAATTATTATAACATTGTAAAATAATGTATATCCTTCCAGAAGCATCGTGTAATTTTTTACGAAAGAAATATCGTATCAAATTAAAAGAAGCCGAGAATTTTTCAGGGCCTTAAAGCACGTTCCTGAAATGTTAAATGTCACGCACATTGTAAAATTATGATAATAGAAACCTTTTGTATACTCAAATATTTAATCATTATTATGATTAGGATAGTAATTATTTTTTTAATTTTAAAATTATTTTAAAAAATATTAAAACCGGTTAAATAAATTGTACACGCAAATTAATAAACTACTTAAAATTATAAAAATAAATTGATTAACACTTCAAAATAAAATGACTAAGTAATAATTTTTAAAACCAAATTATTTATTTTTGAATTTTTACAAAACATTTTGAAAATTTGTATAAATTTCGTAACTATTTACCAAAAGCTTTACTCTTACATCCTTTAAAAGTGATTTAAAAAAAAGTCAACTTTAAAAAAAATACGTAATTAAAAAAAATAAACTCACCATTGAAGGATCCGAAGATACCTATATTATAACACAACACCCCACATTATAGTCAATTATAACTCGCGTACATTTTATTCCACAACACAGTTCATCACAATAGGACGCGACAACGCGTGCGCTCCAGACGGCGAGCAAACTGCTTATGGCAGCCGGGACTGCAACCCTAACCCCCCCACCCCCACCCTCCGCCTAACAGTGTGGCATTCCAGAATTCCCCATAAAAATATTTATTCCGCGACACCGTATTGCGCAATGCATAAATTTTGAACAGCAACTTGTATGCAACAGAAGCGAATCTGTAGTTTTTGTGTTCGAGAATAAAACTCGATTTGTGGTTGCGGGTATTGAGACGAGCTTCGACAGCTACGAATTTTACTACGAAAAACGCTTGCTGGCTAAAAATACTTTTTTTTTAATCCGTTGGATTCTGTATAAAACGTTAAAAAAATATGTGACTAGCTTTCGACCGCGACTCCGTCGTTAATAAAATTAAAAGTTAGTAGCCTATGTCTTCTTCCAGACTAACCTTTACGTCTATACCAAATTTCATCGAAATCTGTTCATCCGTTTATGCTACAAAATGTAACAAACATGATGTGATGAATGAAATTATTATTGTTACAATAGCGTAGTTAATTTAAAACATGTCCTTTCTTGTAGTAGTTAACCAAAGATGCCAGTTTTTAAAACGGCTTTATTTGATAAAAATATTTTCATACATTTAAATACTAAAGCCAGTTAAAATTTTAAGAAAATAAACCTTTTTTTCTTACGCTACCTTTGAACATTTGAAATGGTAAATGTAATTAATTAAACAGCACCTTGGGGGGCGCCCTTTGAAATAGGTGACAAGAAATAATGAGATTTAATTAAAAAGGGAAGTGGCTGCGAATAAAAACGGGTGAAAACCTTGAAACGTACTTCTAATTCTTAATCTTTGTAACACGCGACAAATTCATTTTATGCAAAGGTCAATGCCGGGAAAAGTACAAAATAAAAATGTTTTCGCAACACAAATATATAACACTAGCTTTCGCCCGCGACTCCGTCCGAGAGGAATAAAAAATACAAAAGTAAGTAGCGTATGTGTTCTTGCAGACTATCCTCTACATCTATGCCAAATTTCATCGAAATCCTTCGGCAGTTTAGGCTACAAACTCTAACAAACATCCATCCATCTTAACTTTCGCATTTATAATATTAGTATGATGAAAAGTATGGTTGACACCCACCTTCTTGGGAAATACGTTAATAAAGCATTCAAGAAGATTCAATAAAAAAACAAACTAGTTTTCAGTCAGCGATCTTTGAAGTAGACAAAATTTTCTTTTTCAGCCTTAAAGGAAACTTCATTTTAATTTAACTTACATTAAGTTCACCCCTGTAATAAAAGCACTGAGATGCGCTTATGCAAAAATGTTACCAATTCATTTTTAATTAAAAAATTCTTATTTTCTTTGCAATTTTGTAGCTTGCTGGAGTTAAATGTTGAGGAACACTGAAATATTTTAATTTATGTAGACGGCAAATGAGGAAATGGTTTACTTATGTGAAGAATGTAACCTTGACATTTTTCTTAGGATCAATTCTCTGTACAGTAGTGATGTATGTTTTTTTATGTAATAAATGTTTACTGAATTCTTGGATGTAAGTAAATTGTTTTTCATTTTTCATAGTTGTGACGTCATATTAGTATTTTTTAGCTAGTTACTTACTGTACTACTTACGTTTAGCCTCGTTCATAACTTGCTGTCTATACTAATATTATAAAGAGGAAAGATTTGTATTCGATTCAGGTAAAAACTACTGGGCCGATTTCAAAAATTCTTTCACCATTAGAAATGTAATTTATCTGTAACATAGGCGACATTTTTCGCGAGCAACACCTAGCTGTTAATATTAGTATTAAATAAAGAGGGGACAAGGATATTAGTATATGTAAAATGTTTAATTCTATTATTTTCTATTTAGTATAAAAAATATTATCTATACTAATATTATAATACTAGCTTTCGCCCGCGACCCCGTGCGCGATAAATTAAAATAAAATCAAAAGTAAGTACCTTATGTGTTCTTCCAGAATATCCTCTACATCTATACCAAATTTTATAGAAATCCATTCAGCCGTTAAGACTACAAATTCTAACAAACATCCATCTAAACTTTCGCATTTATAACATTTAAATAAGATAATTAAAAAGAAGGTATTAGATAACTTTATTTTCCTTTGAAGCCTCAAGCTTAAATCCTTTCAATTGACAGCCTAAATATTTTCCTGTAACCGTAAGTTTCCCATTGTGGGGTTGTCTGAAATTTTCATGGCTGCCAGTAATGGCTTTTCCCCTTTTATTCAACAACAAAGGGTAAATTCTTTATATACGGAAAGTTTGTATTACATAAAAGTATCCGATTTTCAATCGGTAATTAATACTGAAGTATTAATCATATGAATATTATAAATGTGAATGTTACGATGGATGGATGTTTCTTAGCGTTTCCGTTAGCGATCTCCATGAAATTTGGCAGGTTTAGAGCATAATCTGGAAGAACACATAGGGTACTTTTTATCCCGGAAATTGTTACGGTTCTCGTGGGATTCATTAATTTAGTTTTTTTAATGTTTACTCAATTATTCTGCAATGGTTCAACATTTATTATTGAAATTTGGCACAGATATAAAACAAAGTCTGGAGTACACATGGAATAAGATTCATCCCCTAGAAATGTTCGTTTTCTGAGGGATATGTAGCTTTTTGCTATTTATATAGTTCGTATGTTTTCTACGCCACGGTATATTCAATTTATTTTCATTAATTTCTTTATTTTTCATTTAATATTTTAAAATGTAGAATGGATTTTTATTTTACTCTCGAAGCGCCTAGTACCTCAACAAATAATATCCAACGCAAACACAATAGAACTAAAACGAGTATAATAATATTCAAATTCAACAACAGCTCGTATTTAGCTGCAACTATATACAAATATAGGCACTCTAGGTAGAGGTAATCCTTTACGCTCCTTCTATCTAAAATTGTGTACGAGCTGCTATTATGTTTGAATGGAACTGTACATTGCATCGATTAATACGTAATCTCTAGGCAGGGGACATTTGGATTCGAATCCCTGATTTGTAACTTTACAGTGGAACGGGGATTATGGATTAATTGCCTACGGGCTGCGTTGTACAACTTAATACAAGCTTTGTTACCAGTAGCAAAACTTTGTCTTTTATATTTCTAACTAGCTGTTGTTCGCGATTTCGTCCACATGATTAAATAACGTAATAGTAATGCCTATGATAATAACTGATAACGTAGCTATTTGATCACGCTAATATTCTAAATGCGAAAGTTCGTATGGATGTTTGTTACAGTTTGTAGCCTAAACGGCTGAACGGATTTCGATGAAATTTGGCATAGATGTAGAGGACGGTCTAGAACACATAGGCTACTCACTTTTGTTTTTTTAATTCCACGCGGATGGAGTCGCGGCCGAAAGCTAGTATATTATAAATGCGAAAGTTTAGATGGATTGATGGATGGATGTTTGTTAGAGTTTCTAGCCTAAACGGCTGAACGGATTTCGATGAAATTTAGTATAGATGTAGAGGATAGTCTGGAAGAACACATAGGCTACTCACTTTTGTTTTTTTTAATTCCACGCGGATGGAGTTGCGGGCGAAATCTAGTAGTGAAATATTTTTTGCAATCGGTCCAGTAGTTTTTGAGTTATTTCAATACATACAAAAATACAACTCTTACCTCTTTAGAATAGTAGAGATTTATAACTCACTTCTTATTTCTATGATAAGGGGCAAAGGAGCAAGAGGCCGATTGATTTCGCCGAAAAATTGAAGAAACCGCTGCTCATAAATAGCCGTAAAAGCGAAGCGATGCTTTTAATCCACAGAGGAGAAGACGTATATAAAGAGGATATTTCGCCTTCCTATGCATCTCTTTTACCGTCAGATCTACTTTCCCTTCCCATCATTTTCTTATAAGAGTGGATAGGAACTAATATTAAATCTCCAGGACGCACATCAGACGAAACACTGAAAAGCTTCCACTTCACACCTGTCTTCTGTGTTGTCGTGGTATTGCGTGGGAGAAGACGCATACCTGCGAAGATGTTAAAGCGGACTCTACCGTACATAAGTAATTTTAGATAGATTTTAAAGATCGCTTATTGGTTTCAACTGTTAATATTACCTTAACTACACGTACTAGTTATACTAAACCCAGTAGAAAAAGTACATACATAAAGGATGTTCCATTTCTCTTGACACGTGACATATTAAGATATTCAGGACGATTTGAGGCACATTTAAGTAAACAACACCCTCTATGAATACAACGGTTCATTTAACATGTTAGGGACGCGGCATTAACTCTGACATATAGGGTGAGCAGCAATCTTGAATTGAATCTTGAATTATATTTATTAATACTAACACGGTTTACGGACAGACAGACAGACAGGAAGTTTTAATGCTATTTTCATTATCGCCATCAGAAGTATATCATCTTCGCGAAACCTGGAATTTATTTTGATGTTACACACAGACATTCCAATTTAATTAGTGTATAAATTAACTTGATTGAATGTAACTTTTAGTAGAACTAATTTTAATACGTAAATTAGACCAGAACATTTATTTCTTACTTTATTAGTTCTTTTTTATTTATCACCTGAAGGACTAAGGTAGAAGTATTACATTTAACTAGCTTTCGCACGAGACTCCGTCCGCGGGGCAATTAAAAAAAAGCAAGTAGCCTATGTGTTTTTCCAGACTGTCCTCTACATCTATGCCAAATTTCATCAAGATTCCTTCAGCCGTTTAGGCTACAAACTGTAACAAACATCCATCCATCTAAACTTTCGCATTTTTAATTTTAGTAAGATTAAATTATTGTTTTTCCCGCATTATACACACACTAAAGAGGGTTTAATTTCTGTATTTTATCAAATATAATGTGTTTTAATTCTTTACTGATTACTGTATACTCTTTGGGGTTATAGGTGTAGTTGTTTACATTACTTGTCATTATCTCCCCTGCCTTATCCTACTCCTGTAGGGTCGGCGCACCGGGTTTTCGTCCTCC